TTCTTTGTTAATAATGGTTTCCTGTTCTTTAGGTTGTAGTAAGATTTAACAACAAACATCGTGAACCAGGAGAAAGGGTTCAAATCGCATTAAAAGCCGCCCCAGGATCCACGGTGGTGTTGAGTGCTATTGATAAACGCTTAAGACAAGAAACTGAGGATATCAMTGTAGACAAGGTAAACCTGGCTTGAATTGATTTTTCCGTTTCAGTAAGTGAACTGTCACAAATATTATCGCATGCCTATATTTGGGGTTTGAAAGATATCAACATTAATTTCAACATTTATTTTCAAGGTGCTTGGCTTTCRTGAGAGACTAAACGTTGGCCCTGCCAGAAAGTCGTTGAGATTGGAAACAAAAATTAAGGAGGCATCCAACACTTTTTATGTAAGAATAAAATCCGGTCAACACTGCAAAATAAAAAGCAACATGGTGTTGGACTATTGTTAGAGAGATACTGTGTTTGAATGAGACATTGAAGATGGAACTGGACGACAGGATATCTTTCAAGTGTTTGGAGCATAAATTGCASAGTGCAACGGGGCAAAAATTGTCCATAAATGATGYCTTTTATTTMCAGTGAAACGCGAACATGCTGCTAAACAATGCTAATACCATACCTACATAAAATTGTCGATTCTGATTGGMTGACGAACCGTGAAAGGTTTTTTAATCGTGCAATTAATTAATACCAAGGGAGCTGTTAACCAATGGCACGAATCTATCCCAGAAGTCTTTGCAAATGATCTYCGTGCTATATGCTCTAGCTATAATGTGTTTCGCCTTTATGCGATAGAATCGAATATTTTATGTCAGGTATGATATCTTAAAAGGAAACACCASCTTTGTTCTCGAAGAATTAATGAAAAATACCGCTATAGTATTTGATGAAAATGAGACACTCGCCGACTCGTGGCAYTAATTCACATTTTCATCAAATTATGATGCGGTATTTTTCATTATTTCTTCTCGAACGGTGGTATTTCCTATACTTACAGACCTAGATTTCTAAAAAAAATTAAACTTATTATTATTTTCAGGATGCTGGTTTTGTGTATTTGTCTGATTCACCGACTTTCGCTGTTCCTGCTGGTAAGTGTCTATAAACCTCTAAGCTRACAAATTGTACAGTTTATTAATATATGGTGAACCATACCTCATTAGTTACAGGGCCGGATACAGGAGTGGTGGTGGTGGACAAGCGAATTTCGAATGAATGCAGATTGAGGAGACGATTTCGMCGACAAGCTCCAGGAAATGCTCAACCTGCAGGATTGCAAAATCCCTTGAAAACATCCAACCATCARCAGGACCAAGCACCTGAAACATGGCTGTGGACAGAGGAAACTGTTAGGTGGGAATTAGTGTTATAGATATCAATAATAATTATACTATAATAACTGTAGAAATCAAAGATTGAGCTTCCTCTGTCATGATGGCCAAATAGAAAACCTCAGAGAGATTAGAGTGGCAAAATTAGCTTGTGTGAAGTCGTCTGTCTTAAATCGTTTTGTCAGATTCGTACTCTGGAATAATATTGGGTTATTTGACGTATCAGTCAAATCTAACCTAACAGCTAAGATATAATTGATAAATGTAGATAAATGTAAACTTATTATATTATTTTCTTGGAATTTACTGCAGTAAATCCAACGGTCAAAGGATAATCACAGCTCGAGTCCCTGATTCAATCACCTCGTGGCATCTCAGTGCTTTTGCAATGTCGTCGACACATGGCATGGGCGTGGCCGAACCTTCTTCTCTCACCGTCACTCGACCTTTCTTCGTGTCGGTTACAGCACCTTATGCAGTAGTTCGCGACGAGAAAGTCAACATTTTGACAAGAGTGTTTAGCTACATGAAGACATGTGCAACAGTGAGTATTAAATCATGACAACCTCACAGATGTGTGACTGAAAAGTTTGTTACCGCTCGTGCATTTTGTATGATTGATAATTTAGTTGAACGCTGAAAGAAAAAAAATTGGAATGGGAAAACTACCAAAAGAATGGAAAGCACCTAGGAGTTGGGAGAATATCATCTACATCAGCATCATTAGACCATAACTGTTTATTTATTCCATTTAGGTTGTTATACAGTTGAAACCAACAAACGATTTCCAACTGATTTCGAAGAATAATCAAAGACTCTGTATTTGTGGTGACGAGGCCAAGAGCGTAAATCACGTGATCAAACCRACTAAAGTTGGTAAAGTATCTCTTACTGTCACAGTGAAGAACGTGGCTCCCAGTCTGTGCAAGAATCCATCTCAAGAGCCCTCCCTTGGGATATCAGATTCTGAAACTCGAGTGCTTCGTGTTGAGGTAAATAGTGGATTTGATATCATGGGTCTGTACTACCAGTCTTCTCCTGTACGGTGTGTGTAATCAGTATTCGATCGACATCCATTCTTTTTTTTTAATTTTCAGGCAAGACGTGATCGGCTTCTGCACAGTACGCCATAACAAACGATCTTTATACAACACAAGACACTTTGCCTCTTTGGCCAAAAGTCCTCGGCAGAAATAGATCGCCATTGTATCAGAGTTCTCGACTTACGTCTACTAGCTCTGATTGCATCAAAGTCTTATTCAAAACCCAATTAGACGGCACCACTTTTGCCTACGACCATCGCATACGAACCTTCATTTCAAGTCATCCTTACGGTCAGYGCTCGGTCGATTATATTTTTCGTAGGGATGTTTTAAGGATGCTATGTTATAAGGATGACTTACACAGGCTGTATGCTATGGTTGTAGGCGAAAGTTGTGTTGTCTCAATTGCTTTCTTTAAGCTGCTTGTTTACTAATGTTTTAACTGTTTTGTAGATTTCGCTAATATTTGAGATTAAAAGAAAATTAATTATGAATTCTGAAAACAAGTTTTAAATTTAGGGGATGCGTAATGAGTATCAGGAGAGTGTGTCTGTGAGGGGGTGGAGGAGGGGGGATTGAAAGAGGGGAGAAAAGTTAATCAATGAGGGAGAGGGGGTAACATCTTAACATAACTTTAATTTTAGACTTTAATTTCTTTAAAAAAAGACAAATTTCTGTTGTTTTGTAAACGTTGGAATCAAGACGATGGCGGGTCAGGTTGACCACTGTCTA